CTAAACCCCTAAACCCTATAAACCTAAACCCAAATTATCCTGGCGGCCATCAGGGGCGAAATCCTTCAGATGATCGATGCCAACCAGGAGGCCTACTACGAAGCCTCGTCACGCGGCCTTAACAGTTGGGGGTTCTTGATCTGAGGTTTTAAGGATTTTGGGGCTTTTGGGGGTTTTGGGGTTTAGGGTTCGGGGTTTAAGGCTTTTGGGGGTTAATGGTTGGGGTTTGCCGTTTGAAGGGCTCTCAAAGTCAAGGTGTCTTTGAGGGTCCTATGATGAAGGGCCCACGGCTAGCAGTTGGGGGATAGGAGTCAGTGGTTTAGAAATCAAGGTCTAGGACATTTTCAGGTCCAGCCTGGTCAGAACATTTTCAGGATACTACAGACCCAATAGGCTCCTTAGTAGTTCCTTTGTGGGGATTACCTTATAGGATCCTAAATACCCACCCACAAACAGGAGCTACTAAGGAGCCTATGGGGAAAATCGGCATCTATCAGAGTCAGTCTTGCGTGGCTGCCCATGCAGCCTTGGCCCAACGTCTGGGACACTGACTGACCTGACATCACAATAGTTGGCACACGAGGTGTGAAGCAAAGGCTTAGTTCACCAATATCCAACCTTTAAACTTTTTGTGTTCTTATACTCTAGTAGTAATCTGAAAGTTTAACTTTTTATTTCCCTGGCTTATTGAATTGGGGAAGTAAGAAGACCAGTCTTTTGCGCTTTAGGTTCCTGGGGCCATTGAACCATAAACCCATTAACACCTACAACAACCTCCCTAAACCCTAACGTAGGAGCCTGACTAAGAATCCCACACCCCCCAACATACTCGGATCCATCTATAGAGCCTAAAGACCCGGCGTTTTCTTAAACCCTAAACCCTAAACCCCTAAACCGTAGCCATTTTGGCTCAAGCCATTTTGGCTCAAGCCATTTTGGCTCAAGGCCTGAGTAAGGTGTTTCTCTTTCCCCTTCAGGGTTGAGGGTTTGCGTGGCGCGCGTGAAGGGCCAGGAGAGAGTCGTGCACCGGAAAGCGATCCTGCCCTCGTGCTTCGAGGTCGGCGGGGTGTCTTCCCACTTGTGTCCCTGGGCTACCCGATTCTGAACTTCGGCACGGAGAGAGCAGAGTGCGTATCTACTGAGGGCAGCGGGGGCTAGGAGGGCTGCGAGTTGCAGGGGGACATGGACCGGGCGGAAGGGCCTACGGCTAGAGCTCGGAAGAACGGACCAGTTGTGCATCTGTCCGGGGGGCCAGGGGCTGCGACTCTTCCCCCCCCGGGGGCCCATAGTAGGATTCCTGATGACATTGATGGAGATCTTGAAGAACGTACCAGCATGGAGGATGCAGTGGGGTCCCCCAAACGTGAGGCCGGGTGGCAGGAGGGTGGCCCCCCTACCAAAAAGTTGGACACCGCCACTTCTTCGAACCCACCCCCCCTCGGGGTCGACATTGCTCAGATGCAGCAGCTATTGGAGCAGCATAGCACCAGGATCCTCCAAGCTCAGAAGGAGAACCTAGAAGGGATGATGGCTCTCTTTGAAAGCCGCACGGACGACCGGTTCAAGCACGTTGAAGCCAGGGCAACCTCCACAGAAGAAAGGGTGAGTTTGTTGGAGAATAAGATCGAGAAGATGCATGATCAGCTCGCCAATGCGCTCCAGGGCCGCGGGGTTGGGCGAGGAGGAGAACCGGAGAGGAGGTTCACCCTCGTCTTCGGAGGATGGGGGAGGGATACAAGGCGCCAAACTATACTCCAGCAGCTTGAAGAAGCCCTTGACCAGCTCAATTTGAAGCAGCATCTGGACGCATCGCCCTTTTGCACCGGGCCAAGGCGAAGCACGGCACTAGCCAACTTTAGTGTCCGTGAACATGAGGGTGATCATGATGTTCGCAAAAGGATGCACACCATCATTGTTGGCCTCGCCAATAGTCAGGTGGCTATCCCCCAGGGGCGCTCTATGTTTGCAACCTTCTCGAAGACCAAGGGTGAGCGGGCGATTGCAGCGCATGCGGGGTGGGTCAAGAGAGCTATTTCGAAGCTAGGGCAGGACATTCTCTCCACCCTTGATGTAGAGTACAGTACAGGGACGTGTTGGATGGGTACCTCTACTATTGCATCAGCTACTCGTCCCAGTGAACCAGGCATTCCGGATCAGAATCTTCTTCGTGATGAGATTGAAGGGCACAGGGTTTGGGTGGACATTGTTTCTCTCGCTAAGGAGACAGGCAGGCCACAACGAGAGATCGCGAGGCTTCTTGATGAAGCGAAACGCTGAGAATCCTCCCTTTCTTCTTCTTTCTCTGCTGAGGACGACGGTGGCCAGCCGAGAAAGAGTGTACACACTAAGGTTCCTAAGCCCCTTTGGACCTTTGAAGTTCGATCCTGGAACATAGGTGGAGTTGATGAAGGAGCTGTGCCACAAGCCCTCAGGGATCTTGGAGTGGCAGAAAATGACCACTCGATTTACCTCTTGCAAGAAGTCCCCCGACATGAGGTTGGGTGGCATACGGACTGTGCAGGTGGCTGGAGCATGCTGAGTCACCGCCCGGAGGGGCGGTGGCGCGGCACAGGCATTCTCTTTAAGGAGACCTGCTGGAAAATCGTAAGGAGGCTCACTGCAGCAAGAGGGTGCTGGTTCCGTATCAGGCACGTGACCTTTGGCAACGAGGCCTGGGTGGGTTCTGCACACTTCGATCCGGCTTGCACACAAATTGTCCACAGGGCTGCTGCAGACGAGTTGCTTGCTAAGCTTAAGCCAACTACACTGCCCATCATCCTCGCGTGTGACATCAACTCACCAATACGTTGGGAGCATGGGGTTGACGGAGTACCACAGCCCTCGGGTAGAGATGGGAAGACAATTGGTTTCCTGGAGGCAATCGCAAGCCGGGACCTTCAACTCGTTGTGCCCAGGAAGGACGATCTCAGCCTCCCCAGCAGCAGGCCACGGCAGGAGGGTAGATCTGGAAGACAGATTGATTGCATCTGCTCGCGAGGGGTTTTGGCGCCATCTCTTGAAATCGTGAAGGATTCCCACAGAGCAATAGGGACGGACCATGAGTTGCTTCGGTGTGCTGTTCACCTATGTCCAGCGAGAGAGAGGGCTTCGTTTAACACAAGACCGAGGGTTTGGACATCGGGGCCACAACTCATTGATGGGATCGATCAGGGGGTGTTGAAGAAGCTTGCCCGCGAATGTACCAAGCCAAAGCCGGGGAAGGCCTATAAAGACCCAACTGCAGTCAAGCAAGCGGTGAAAACTGCCCGAGTCAGCCGCACGGCAGCAGCTTGGAAGGAAGTCCACAAGCTTCGCAAACATGCTCGCAAAGTTTGGGAGAACCAGAGAATCCAGGAGGCAATGCAGGGGGATTGGGAACAGGTTCGCAAACTCAGGATGGTCAAAAACACAGGTTGGGACATCCACTTTGCGGAGAAGCAGGGTGAGGGGGATCCACACCAGTGCATACATGAACACCTGGAAAGCATCTACACCACTGGTAATCAGCTTCCTGAGCTCCCCACCTGGGATGGAGAGGTCCAGGCCTTCACGGAGGACGAGCTCAAAACGGCGATTGCGGCGGGCCACCGCAACAAGGCCGTGGGGACGGACATGACAAGCCACGAACTTCTACAGGGGATTATGGACACACCAGGGGGGTGCACCCACCTCCTTGAGTTCTATAACCACATCCTGTGCACGGCCGACATCCCTGCTGATTGGAATCGGGCAATTATGGTGGTGATCCCCAAAACCTCCTTCCCCTCCGAACCAGGAGACCTAAGACCGCTGTCCATGGGCAGCGCTGCAGCCAAAGTCTTTGCCCACATGCTACTCACACGCTCTGCCCCCCAAATCCAATTAAAGGGGCCTGAACAGTGTTGTGGAAAGGGCCGACAGACTTGCGATTTCATTTTCGTGGTTTCCCGACTTATGCAACTGGAGCATGAATGGAAGCAGGGGACCTGTTGGCTGAAGGTCGACTTGGCTAAGGCATTCGACAAAGTGGATCGCAGGGTACTGGTAAACCGACTTGAACAGAGGATGGGGATGTGTGCAGAGTTCAGGTGCTGGTATAACCTCCTCCGGGGCACCGATGCAGTCCTACAAACAGGGTGGGATACTTCGATCATTGCTATGCACGATGGAATCAAACAAGGTGCCATTGAGTCCCCGGCATTCTTCGGTTTTCTGGCGGAAACCTGCCTACACGAAGCATCGGTGAGATACAAGTGGCATGAGCAGGCGAACACTTTCCCGGGGCTGGAGCTTAACAACCTCCTCTACATGGACGATGGTTTGCAGTGGAGTAATGGGGTTGAAGGGATTGAAAGAAGGGTTGCCCAATGGGGGGCCGTTCTTCAGGAATTTGGCCTGGCGATCAACGCCAAGAAGTGCCAGCTATACTGCTCTCCTTTTCACCGAGGTAGACGGACGATAAGGGTGCAGGGCGAGGTATTTTTTGCTGCTGAAGAACTTCACATCCTGGGGCTCACATTCAGGGTAGGGATTACACCCTCGGAAATGATCTCACCCCTGTTAGCCAAAGCCCGAGCGAAATTCTGGGGGGGACTTCGACATCTCCTTCGAGCCAAGACACCCATTGGAGGTAGGGTTCGGTTGATGGAGCGAGTGCTTGGAGGAACGGTCCTCTGGCCTCTGGCAGCGCTACCGATGGATGCCTCCAGCCAGGGCCTTATCAACACACTACAGCTCCAAATGTGCATATGGATCATGCGAGTGGCGAAGAGACCAGAAGAATCGTGGGTACAGTACAGAGAGCGATCCTTCAGAGCAGCTAGAGCAATTGTGCATCAGTACTCAAAAAAGCGATGGTCAACGGTATGGCTTGAACGGTGGTGGGGCTACGCTGGCCATCGTACCAGAGCAACCATGCACGAAGGACTCCATGCAGCAGCCATCATCGATGCCTACAGGACAAGGGTCTGGTGGTTGGAGCAGCAAAGCAGACCACACACAGGGATGAAACACCAAGGGCGTCTCTTCCCGAGACTTATGAATATGGAAAGAGACATGGACAAGATCACACGAGGGCCTTGGAGAGAGAAGACGTACAACAGGAAGGGTTGGCAAGAGCTTACCACGGCTTGGATTGAACAGATGGACCTCCCGTGGGCAAGTATGAGACAGCCCAGCCTGTTGGCTAACTAACACACCTCTCGGAACGGTGTTTACTCGATCAAGATGGTTGAGATAGGGTGCAACTTGGACATGTTGAGGAGCACTTCTTTCAGTGTTGTTCGAACGAGGGCAATCTATC